GTTCATGTACTTAGTGACTTCCTTCAGGTGGCGTCCAAAGGGTGTATCTTTATCCGGTTGCATGAACTTGTTCCTTGCATCCGCCATCCTAAAAGAGTAGAAAAGATGAGAAGTCAGAAATGAGAAGAGTGAGTAGTGATCTAGGTCTTTATCTTAGTGGTCGTGTCCTACAGTCAGTGTGTGCTCTGATACCATCTTGTAGCGACCAGACCTCAAACGGTCCGATCTCTGTGCTTCAGTGTCATCCCTGGATCAGTAATGCTGACACGCACAGTACTTGCAGGATTTATAACAGAGTAGCAATCACACACTTATTACAACGAGTGTCTCAAAAGAGAAATTATTACAAATAATATGGCTTAAGGCCATCTAATAACGATAACAGCGGAAGGCTTGGAAGATAAGTGAGTCCATCAACTCCAACGACATCACTGAGTATAGAACCACGACCTAAAGCTCTTTACTCGTCGTCTGAAAAGACTGCAACATGAACGTTGCAGCCCGAAAACGGGCCAGCACATGAAATATGCTGGCAATGTAACACATAGAGAGCAATGAATAGAAATAGGCTATACTACATGCATATATGGCTGGTGGAAAGCTCTACGATTACAGTTTTGCGTAAAGCCAATTTTTCTCTACTGCAAAGGAATAAATTTTATTTGACTATCATGGTGGTTGTTAAACATTGAGAGTGTAGACACCCTCTCAATCCCAAATAAGCATCATCATTAAAACCCAACAAAATTAATTAAAGTCACATGATGAGATTCACATGATAATCCAAGTACTAGATACTCAAGATGTCCATAACCGGGGACACGGCTAACCGTGATTAGTTTATACACTCTGCAGAGGTTTGCGCACTTTTCCCCACAAGACTCGATCTCCTCCATTGGAATTCTCGCACTACATGGTGTTTGAGAAATGGATGACCGAGACATAGTCTTTCAGAAGCGCTAGCACCTTACGATCGGGTAGACCGTTACACCTACTTTCCCCTACATCTGCTAGTCTACCACTGTAAGAGTTCGCACGACTTAATCAACTATGCCAGAGCCCATAGTAGCTTGTGGCTACACACGGAAGTTTCTAGCATGAATAATCTCATGATCCCTTTGAGCCTGGGTGGCGGTCCATAAAGAAAAACAGGCAATCGCTGGAATACCCAGGTGCCTCAATCCACTCAGATGTGTATTAAAGTTGCCACCTTAAATAAATCATTAATTATCAATCTCACATCTGTCATGGATACACTCACCCAATCCACGTCTACTAGCATAGCATGGTAATATATGCAAACATAGAAGTAACTCCCAAGGGTTTGATAATAAAACAGGTAATAGGTACTACCTCATCTACTTTCCCAAAACCCACAATTTAATTAGATCCTAATCATGCAATGTTTGAGGATTGATCTAATGCAATAAAAACTGGGTAGTAAGAGGTATGATCAAAGTGTTACTTGCCTTGCTAATGATCCGTGAATCCTAGAGATTCGAAGTAGCAAGCGGCGCACTCCGGGTACTCTAACGCAAACAAACAAACAAGCATACAATAAGTACTCAACTAATGCACAGGTAAAACTCAAATAAGAGATCTAACCAAAAAGTTCAACTTAAGAACTCCGGTTTGCAAAAAGGAAACAAATCAAACGAAGCGAGGAAGTCAAACGGCGAAAGAAACGAGCTTCGTCTACTAATCTGGATCTAAGTCAAATTTTACAGAAGCAAAAAATTGTTTGATTTGGTTAAACGGAAAGAGCGTTTCGAGACGAAACTCTAGGCGCTTGAATCGCCTCATTCCGACAAACGAACGAAAAGTTAAACTAAAATGAAAATCGGATCAGAAATAATCACGGATAATCCAAGAAAAAGAAAAACGACTAACAGGCTAACGAACGAACGTTCGCTGTCTGTGGCTAAATGACGAAAATCGTTCATTAAAACGAACGTACGGACGAACGTCCTCTAAATAAATAAACAGAAAAAAACAAATCTAAAAAAATAAACCGCGAGTTCTAACGAAAAACCGATCGGTTTTTCGTAGAAAACCATCGGCGGTGGCGGCGGTTACCGGCGACGGTGGCGGCTCCGGCGGGCGGGCGGCGAGCCTGCGGCGGCGGCTCCGGAGGCGGCGGTGCGGGCGGCGGCGGCTCAGGCGGGCTAGGGTTTCGGCGGGATGCAGGGTGGGCTGAGGGGCGACTTCCCCTGGCTTATAAGGTCGGCCGGGCCAGGAGTCCTAGACGGACACGGCCCGGTTAGGTCGGTGGCGCGTTTTTTTTAACAAATTTGGACGTGCAGAAAAGGAAAGAAAAGAAATACTAAATGGACTTCAAAAATCCCTAAATAAATTTTCCCCGACTTCTAAAATCAAGCCGGACAAGGTGAACATTTATTTGGGGCCTAAATACAATTTTGAAAAACGCGCATTTTTCCTAATTCAAATAAAATAGAGAGAAAACACCGAAATAAAATCTTATTTGATTTTTTTATTAAATCCTCAATATTCCTTTATTTTGGGAAAGTCATTTTATTCCCTCTCACTTATTTTTATAATTAGAAGTATTGAAGATAAAATAATTAAATCAAATGATCCTATTTTCAAAAATTTGAGAAAACTCAAATATGAAAATAACGAAATCCCCAACTCTCTTCATGGGTCCTTGAGTTGCGTAGGATTTCTAGGATCAAGCCAAAATGCAAATAAAATATGATATGCAATGATGATCTAATGTATAACATTCCAAATTGAAAATTTGGGATGTTACATTATCTTTATACCAAACAGAGCCTATTTGCATGGCTGCGGTCGTCGATGCACGGCACACCTGGTCACTGTGGTCGTCGAAGCATTGCCACGACCGTCGTCGTCGAAGCATCGCCACGCCATTGAAGCACGCCTCATTGCATGCTCGCGGTCATCGATTCACGACATGCCTCATTGTCGTGGTCGTCGAAGCATTGGTGTAACCGTCGACGTTGAAGCATCGCCACGCCATTGAAGCACGCCTCGTTGCATGGCCGCGGTTGTCAATGCACGGATGCCTCGTCGCCTCTATCGTCGAAGCATTACGGCGGCCGTCGTCGTCAAAGCATCGCTACGCCATTGAAGCACGCCTCATTGCATGGCCGCGGTCGTCGATGCACGACACACCTCGTTGCGGTGGTCGTCGAAGCATTGCCGCGACCGTCGCTGTTGAAGCATCACCACGACCATTGAAGCACGCCTCGCTGCATGACTATGGTTGTCGACTCCATCACGGCATGCCTTGTCGTCATGGTCGTTGAAGCATTGTCGCGACTGTCGTCGTCGAAGCATCGCCATGACATTGAAGCACGCCACGTTGCATGGTTGAGGTCGTCGACGCGCGATGCCTCATTGCCGTGGCCATCGAAGCATCGGCACGACCTTTTAAGCATACCTTGTTGCATGTCGCGATTATCGACTCCATCACGCCATGCCTCGTCGCCATGGCTGTCGAAGCATTGACGCGACTGTCGTCATCGAAGCATCGCCACGACCATTGAAGCATGTCTCGTTGCATGGCCATGGTCGTTGACGCCTCATCATGGGTATCAAAGCATTGTTGCGGCCGTCGTTGTCAAAGGATCGCCACGACCATTGAAGCACGTCTCGTTGCATGGTCGTGATCGTTGACGCCTTGCCATGGGCACCAAAGCAATTGTTGCGGTCGTCGTCGTCAAAGCATTGCCACGACCATTGAAGCACGCCTGCAACATGGCCATCGTCGATGCCGTCGCAACAGGCCGTGGTTGTCGAAGCATTACACCGTCCGTCGTCGTTGAAGCATTCCCATGATGGCTGAAGCATGCCTGACAGCATGGCCATGGTCGCTGTCGCAGCATGATGTCGTCGCAGAGCCTGCGATGCTTAATCACAGCATCGACGGACGCATGCGATGCTCCATCACGGCGCCTGTGGCCACACATGTAAGCACCATTGCAGCACAAGCCACTCGCGCTTACAGCGCCCGACACTGGCAGCAAGCGATGCTCAGCGCTGGCGGCCACGAGCACAAGCTACCCAAGGAGCACCTAGCCGGCCATGGCTGCCGCCCGCGATGTTCAGCGCTGGCGGCCACGAGCGGAGGCTCCATCTCCGCACAAACCACCCGGCGGCCGTGGACAGCATGGCCCTGCGTCCCATCGCAGTATCACGCGTCACGCACGACGCCTGTGTCTTCGGCAAACTCGGGGTAGCAAAAGAGAAGCCGGTGTCGACCTTGCAGGACGGTTGCTGGCCGCGCAATACAGGTGCCTCCGGCTTGCAGCAGCACATGGCGAGCGGCGCCGCTCCTTTGTAGCGTTGGAGTGACGAGAATCAGGTTTAGGCAGCGGCGCCTTGCAAGCTTGCAGCAAAAAAGGAAGCGAAGAAGAGACATGAGATCAGGAGGTGGGAGACGACGGAGAGAAAAGAGGAGACCGTCCGTTTGTAGCTGAGGAAGGGATAAGGTCAGCGAAAGAAAGCGGTGCGTGATCCACATAACCACGTGGTGAGCAAGCGAAGCGGTTTATTTCAGAGCGGGGTCAGCCGGTTGATAGAAAGACTTTTCCTTTTTCATGAGTCAGGAGCAGAAGAAAACCTCCGAAAAAAACGGACAAGAGAAAAAGGAGCAGAAGAAATCGCAGGAAGAAATAGTGGAGGTGTCAAAATTCAGAAACCTTTGCAGGTTGTTTCGAATTGGAAAACAACTGCGGAAAACAACAAATTAGCATAGCAAATCTTCTTTTCTTTGCATCACCCGTGCCGGCCACCGTACCGGAGACGTGAGGGTTCTCTGGTGCAGGGAGAGCCACACGGTTGCCATGTCGCAGTCCTCCTTGCGTCCACGCAAGCAGCCAGGCGACTCCAAGCGCTCTCTCAGCCACGCCTCCTCCTCTCCTCGCCCCGCCCCGCCCCGCCCCCACCGCGATAAGCAGAGAGGCCGCGGGGAAAGAATCCTTCCTGATCGGTAGAATCTCGGACGGGGAGGGGCCATGGGGATACTACTGGTTTCCGGGAGATTCTTGGCTCGACGGCCTGCCCTCGCGCTCGCCCCTCGCTGCTCCCGAGGCTCCCCGGACAAGCGCGGCAGGGACGAAGGTATGAGCAGCACACCACACCATACTAGCATCTGTTGGGTCTCTCGTTGCTCCCTGTAGCGTGTAGGTGTTTGATGAAATGCCGCTGTTGATTACTTAATTACCGCTTAGCTCTGCCACTAGTCTCACGGTTGTTGTGTTGTAGTGATAGTGTCACCCCTCTAGAATACCATAGTATTAGCCCGATCACTGCATCAGAAATTCAAGCTGCTGATGCTCACTTTACTCGTTCAGACATGATCTGCTTACTGGACCATACAGATTGCAGAACAGTCTGAATGCCTCATTTCATGTGCTAACATAGTAAGATTTGAAGTGAAATGCAATGTTTGCTTCCTTTATTTCAACCGAAAGGTGTGCTCTCTTCATGTGTGCGCTCGCAGGTCACTGCATGTTCACAACTGCGTCTACAATAAAGGCCGGTGTTAAGGTTGTCTCTCATTAGTGTTCTTTACAGGTCGTTTATTGATCTAGCAATAGGTTCTCGCTTCGTCGGCATCTATTTACCTCCTTTTTCAAACAAGTGACAGCGAACAATACTGTATTGATTTCTCCAACAACACCAAACCTGCAGTTATGCCTGATTTCTCTGATCAAGTCATTTATGCTTCATCATCAGTCTTTGCCACGGCACAGCTTTCCTTCACCGTACTAGGTATATCTTTTACCAAGTACAAACGTGTGCCCTGATTTCAAGACCAAAGTGGAGATCACAGTGGTTCTTCTTTCATAAATTTTTACTTTGTCATATCTTTTCTATCCATAATCCATATGAACGAGATCTTAGTTTCTTAGATTCAAATATGATGAAAGATTCTTCTTCTTTTCACTGGTCAATACTGGATATTTGCCCTTGTTTGGTTATATATTTGATTTGATGGATAATAACTGGTGGATTGTGAAGTTCCTTTTTTGGGTTAGATTTAAAAGGTCCTGTTACGCATAGTTTGTTATAACAGGTTACTGATAATATGTGCACCTTGTGATAGGTATTAATTTGGCACCAAAGGAAGATGTCAGAACAGATAGTGGACCACCACTTCCATTCTATATTATTTTGAAGTGGAACAGTAACCTATGACATCCTACTGTTATAAGATATTAATAGAACACTTCGATAAAAAAGTACTCAGTGAAACAGTATGTAAAAGGTTTCATAACTAAATACAAAGAAACAAACACCAGAGTTAATACTCTAGCTGTTTGCTATGCATTAAGGTTTTCCCCCTCTGCCCTTTCCCTGGAAGGCCAATATATTGGGAAATTTTCCAGGTCCAATCATTGCTTTTTTTGTCAATTACACGATTTAATGTCTAGAGTTAAAAAAAAATATCGACGAAACATCCAGTACACCTAGATTGACAAAATTGAAGAGTAAATCAATTATTGTAAAGCTCCCTTATTGAACTCCAGCACTATTATCCAGCAGAGAAATGAAAGAAAAGGATATGTGATTCCTCTGTTGCATTGTGTCATAAAGAGCAACAATACTTTGTTGAAGTATGACCCTAGTATTCAGTCGTTCTCAGAGCATGTTATATTTCGTAACATAAGCAGACTCCCAAGCCACTTGAAGAAAAGGAACCTCCTGAACATTCAACCTCTTTAAGTACCAAACACCATATAACAACTTGATTGGAGGATTTTCTTGAGCTACATATGAATTTGATATGCGATGATGTATGACATAACTGGAAATTGTAGGTCGGCAAAGTTTATTTGAAAGAGATATAATCATCACACTGTTTGCCGGTGAAAACATCCACATTTGGTTGCCGAATTTTGTATACGATGAAAACATGTTTGCAGGTTGAATCATTTCTTTGTCTTACTTTTCAGGTGACTCATCGTCAACCGACTGGGATAAGGCTTGGTCTACCTTTAAGAAGAAAGGGAAGAAGACCCTATTCTCGGAGTTCTCACCGAACAAATATGTGACCTGGAACCCACGGCGCAGTGAGTATCCATTGTCAGAAGAAGTCGATCCAATCAAAAGAGCTGAGAGGTCTAACTTGATGTTGTGGACAAGCCCAAGGTTTACCTTGGTAGGGGCTATTATCATCATTTCGGCATTGCTAATCTATACATTGGTTGTCCCACCCAAGTAACTGCTGAAGTGACAGATAACAGGTGAGCTGTAGGCCGAAGATTCTACTTGGAAGTCTGTATTGTACATTTAGTTTGTACTATACCAAGTATATCATGGTTCTGTATTGCTTCAAGCACATTCTAATAGATCATAATAGAGTACTCCTTCATTTTGGTGATTTTCTTCACTTGTACATCAATTGGATCCTCTTTTATCTTCCATTATAACCAAGAAATACTGGGTCACCTAGAATAATATGCTGATCAGCATCCATGATTATGCTCCCGATGTGAATTTTTCATAGTCCTCACTTCCTAGTAACTTCAGGTCATCAGGTGTGACCAACGGATCATCTAATGTTAGTTTATTAGTTAGTGATGGGTAGCTTGTAGTGTTGGTAATGCTTGAGCAAGTGGACATGTGCAAAGCATCTAGTAATCTGATGGAACCCAAGAGAAGCACGTTTTCATTGCGCCAAATTCAAGTCAAAAGGCCAGTTCACTAGCTTCATATAGTAATAAGCACCAGATAAGCAGGAATCTTGCTCAGATGTAAAGCAATTCAACTTACCTTATTTCCTATATATCCCCTAAATAATTAGGCTTTGCCGCTTACATTGGAGGCATCAAAACAGAGTGGTGTCTACATCTTGTAGTTAGACTCTTAGACGGAATTCGGCATAAAAAATAAACATGATGAGGACCATCTCATCTTGTCGTTTAAGACCCGGTCGTCAGATCTGTATCCAGCATCTTGGAACAGGTCAGACAAAGGCATTTCCATCTTTCCCTCTGAAAATTGGACTTCTCATCCTTTAAACATTGAGTGATGGCCAAGGTCTTGCTCTCCTGTGGATTGTGGCGATGCTAGTCTACAATTAACACTGAGAAATTAGCATTCCCCAAGACAGTCAATTAAATTTCCAGAGCTTCTACAGTTTGGTTTTGTGTAGATATAAATGAATTTTCGAGAATGAAAATATTCAGATATGCTGCTTACATTTCAAAAAAGCAAGAGGAGTAACTGATTGCTAATTACTGAAGTAGTTATGTTTTCCTGCTTCTCTTATCTCTCGTTATTACTTTTGTTACCGTGCATTGCCTTAAAGATTCCAGACACTTCTGAAATGTGAAGAGAAAATTTGTCCATCCCGAGAGAGCGAAGACTTTTTCCCCAATGCGAACAGAATATATAGGTTGGTCAGTGTGGAATTCAAGTCAACTTCTCCCCGGGCGTACAAAATAGTTTTTCCTTGTAACATCTCGTACATCTGCCGCTGTATTTTAGTTCGCTGCCAGTGCATTATTGTACAGCTTTTCCTGCAGGTTATCATATTTTATGCCCTGTGCTGTGTTTGGGCACTTGCAATCTCCATGGCCAACGGAGAGCCCGGCCTGAACGGTCCATGCTGAAAGTTGTGATCGAGAAAATCTCTATATTTTCTTCTAGTGCCATGGTCATGGGTAGGTTAGTGCTTAAACTATATCCACTCATCGTAGGCAGGCAGACAGTGGCGTAGTTTTCTATATCATTCCAGCTGGAGTGTTGAACTTCAGAACCACCATTTTTCAGACAGAATCCTGCAGCGAGCCAACACAAAACACATACAGTACTATATTTTTTTCTTTCTTTCTACCCAGGCTTGCTTGCTGGTGAGTTATGTATGTACTACCGGGCTGGAGTGCTGGGCTGACTAGTAACAGTGGATAAACACACCAGGCTGGCGCGTATCTGATTTAGATCTTCATCACCTCTGAAGGTAGCGTATCCAGAAAGCTTTGCCCCAGGCAGGCAGTAGAGTCAGTACAGTGACATCTCAAGGTTCAGACTCGAGCCAGGGCTGCTGAGGCGCAGACCCGAAAGTTTCCAGAAGACGGAGTTCGAACTGCTTGCACCCCAAGGAACCTTGGCCCTCACTCTTCCCAGTACATTGGCTTGGCTATAAAAGGGCGCGGCTCTGGCGGTCACTCCCCTCACATCGCACACAAGCACAAGCCCACACGCCAACCTTCCTTCACACGCTCCTCTCGACCCTTCTTCCTGGCTTTCGGAGCAAGAAGGCGCCTGCAGCAGCGGTGGCCCGCAATGGAGCGGCAGGGCGACTCGAGGCGGCCTCTGCCGAGGCGCGGGCAGGTGAAGGCGAGCATATTCGCGTGCCTCTTCCCGTGCCTCGCCCGCAACCGCAAGGCGGCCGGCGGCGAGCGGAAGGAGGGCAAGGCCAGGGCCAAGGAAGGCGGCAGCGGCGGCCGCCGCGTCGCGCCCGGTGGTTGATCCGGTCCGGCCCGTGCCCGGGGAAGGAGGGATGGATCTGATGATCTCTGAAGAAAAGAAAGAATCAAGAATTGCTGCTGCAGGTCCGGTTCTTGTTCTTGAGCCGGAAGCCGTTCTGTTGGGACGCGGGATGAGGGTGGACGATTTGGTGGTCGGGTTCGCTGGTACGATAGGGGGTGTTGGAGGGGAATAACATTTTCCTTTTTGCTGGCTGCATGGAATTCCGTTGTGATTCCGCAGCAGCTTTTGGCCAATATGTGGAGTCCGTAGTCTCGCAGTGATTTGGATCGTTTGTTGTGGGTGTATGTATGTGTTGTATATGCTACTGTACGTAATTGCCATTGAGTGATGAACTTGTCATGAATTTCTGTTCTTTCTGGTGTTGTCTGTCTATGGTCTGTACTCCGGTTTCTGCACTTGAATTTCTTCTCTGCATCTCCGTCGCGGAGTACATTCATTGAACAAGCCCGCTCTCTGCATCTCCGTCGCAGAGTACATGGTACATTCACTCAAGATTGGCGAGGTTACAGTATCACAGGATAACGAAACAGCAGTAACAAAGTTATTAAAGCTAACACCATGAACAAAACCAAATTATCAAGCTTGTGGTACAACAAGCAGCAAAAGGTAATCAGAGGCTGCATCATCTGTCGTCCCGGGTCGTCAGTGTCAGGGTTCAACCGATGAACAACTACTCCTGCATTGCACCGCATCGACTGCGTTCGTCGTTGACAAGTCATCCCCATGCTCCTATTTTTACCGGTGGCATGGCATTTCCACAGGCGCTGATTGGCTGGTGGGCGCGCAATCTCCCCAGCCCACCCCATGGCCACGAGGCAACGACACCTGGGTGCCCGCCTGAGCCGAGGTCGAGGTGCTTCGCGGCGAAGTCTTCTCCTCCTGCAAGGGCCCTCCCTCCGCGGTCCCGCCATGCCGCCACGCCATCAACATCATCCACAAATTTGCTAACAAAAACATTACTAGAAAGCAGAGGCTCTTTTGGCATCCCAAGTGGCCGATCCCGGCGAATAAAGCGGAGGGGGAATTTTTGCTCTTTCGTGCCGTGCGGCGCTTTTGAGCTGATATCGGCGAGTGATCAGCGGCACGTGTAGTAGTAGTGTATTGGAGACGATCATGGTTAGCTGGAAGTGGAAGATCATTCATCACTGAGGCCGCCCTAATCTCGCGCCTAGTGCAATAAAAGCAATGGTTCAGGTGCACAGACCCATTATATGTGATCAGAGCTTGCTTCTTCACCTGATGGTTTTCAGATCCCACGGCTACGTGAAGTTCTTTTTTCTTTCAAAAACAGAGGCCGTGCCATGCCACAGCCCACACAAAGCTACAACAAAATTGCACAGTTTCTGCTTCTTCTTTCCCAATCCGGGGTACAGGTTTTGCACTGCTCGTTCGCTCGCTTTTCAAGATCCGAATGCGACTAACCAAAGAAAGGCAAAGAGGAATGGCATTACGGTCGGACGCATTGCACCTGCCCCCCGCCATCTTTAATCCGGTGGCCTCTGTAGGGCCATCCGACCACGTTTCCACAATGTGAACGCTGACGCTGAACGGAACGGAACTGGTCGCACGGTCATGTGGAATTCAAGTCAAACTGTTCCCTGGACGACCAAATAATTTCGTTTCGGCATCTCTGTCCGTCTTGCGCCCGGCTTTGATCCCTTCCCCTGCCCGTGCGTGCATTATTGTGTGCCTCTACTTGCAGATTACCTTCGTACGCCCTGTGTTTTTTTTTTAGCATTAGTACAGACACGAGCGCTCATATACACGCGCATACACTCACCCCTATGAACGCACACACGCACACCCTACCCCTATGAGCATCTCCGATAGACCGAGCCGGCATATCATCTTGAGATTTACGAAGTCACCGTAGGCGCCTCGTCGTCGACGGAAACATCTCCTCCCGTCGTAAGCGCATCGCCGAAAATCCTGAAATAAATACAGGAATAATGTGAGCACCAGTATTTGAACTTTGATGGGTTGAGGATACCACTGTCCCCCTAACCAACTCAACCACATGTTGATTCGCCTGTATGTTTTGGACTCAACAGGGAACCAAACCTGCATTCATAACACTCCTATAATTTAAAGGGAAATGCTGGTCGATCGATTCTCAGGACGCTGGTCTCAAGAGAATCTCCATTTTTCTTCTCCAGTTCGTGTTTGGAGCCTCGCCGTGCATTGTTAAGTTAATGCTTATGAGGTAAACTGCATAAGCACACCATGCTTGGGCAGGCAGATGACAACGCACACTCTGCGTCGGTCCAGCTGGGATGTTGAGCCATCGGATGACAGAACCTGGCACATCAGTTTTATACTAGCAAACCATACATAATTTCATATTGGCTACTGTTTTTACCTTGTCTTGTGTACTAGTAGTACTATTAACGCTTGCTTGTGGTGGATGCAGGCTTTGAACAATGGGGATGCCAAGCTTTACCTTTACAATTTTGTTTTTGAAAGATCCAGCAATTGCTGGCTTTTCATTGA